ACCCTCGTTTCTCTGGTCCACTCTCATTCCCCAGGAGTATCTCACATCCATCATCTACAGTTCAAAGCTATTGACACTGAAAACTTGACATAACAGCTGTCTGGGGTCAGCCCTTTCCAGGAATCCATCTGAACAAGGAAGCTAAGGCCTGGCTGGCCCAAGCAGAATTATGAAGACTATAAATGTGTATGGGAAAAGCTGGGTTAGCATGTGTCACACAATGTAGGAAGGGTGCACAATTATTAGAGATGTACTGCACAGGATGACGCCAGTAAGAAGGACTGAAAGCTAGCATGACTGAAGATGAGAATGGAAGGAAGAAGAGAGGGTAAGACTCGGCTAGACAGGTCCCCTTCTTGGCAATATCAAGGAGTTAGTCCTTATCTTTAAGGAATCATACAAGGGCTTTGATCAGACAATGGGACACAATAATTTCTGTCAATTAGATTTAAAGATCATTAATCAGCCTTCTCTTTCCTTCCAGAACTTTCACTCACTGAATTGTAAAACAGTATAAGAAACATATTAATATTTGTATATCAGCATGTGTGTAGCTTGCAGTGACAAAGACTTCTTAACTCTATTAGCATTAATTATCAGTGGCATGAGATTTCTCTTCATAGTTTCACAAACTGAGTTCCCTACTCAGTAGTGCCTGGATTTACTACTTCACCTCACTATCCTTTCCATTGATAACACTAGTTTCTCCCCATATATTTATCTTTACATAGTTATTTCATGGGGTTAGTTGTGGCAGGAATAGTAACAACATCAAGATTAGCATACAAAAGAAGTCAGCTGGCAGAGGATAGGAAACATGCAAGAAACAGAGTACCATGAAAACAGCCTAAGACTTACAAATGCTAGAGAAGACGGGGTTGGTGAACTTCTACAAAGGGCCTAGCCCTGTTAACCCGATGCTCTTGGGTATATGCCTTTTTCTAGCTCATTAGCAGCACTCACTTCTTGAATGCCTTCCCTACACCCTCTATTTCTATTTACTTTTTTTAAAAAAGGCATCAAACAGCCAAACAAGTTTGTTTTCTTGTGAGCTAGCTACCTAAAAACCATTCACAATTCTATTCTTCAGTTGGTAAAAGAGCTTACCATGATATACAGAGGATCTGAATCTGACCCCAATATCCACATTAAAAGCAAGCAAGCAAACAAACACTATGGGAGAATGGTCTTGTGCACTGTAAAGATTTGTCACTTGTATTGGTTTAATAAAATGCTGACTGGCCAGTAGCCAGTGACCAGACTAGAAGAATTCTGGGAAGAGAAAAGGCAGAGATGCAGTTGTCATAAAGAAGTAGAGGAAGCAAGATGAGAATGCCTTACTGAGAAAGGGTAGTAAGCCACGTGGCTAAACATAGATAAAAATTATGAAAGAATTATGGGTTAATTTAAGTTGTAAGAGTTAGTTAGTAATAAGCCTGAGAAATAGGCCAAACAGTTTATAATTACTATAAGCCTCTGTGTTTATTTGGGACTGAATGGCTGTGGGACCAGGCAGGACAGAAATTTCCATCTACAAACAAGAAGACGTGGATGTGTTGGCACACACTTGTAATCCCAGTGCTGGGGAGGCAGCGACAGGTAGATTCCCTGGAGCTCACTACTCAATGAGCAACCAGTTTAGCCTACTCAGTGAGTTCCAGGCCAGTGAAAGATCCCACTTGAAAAAATGAAGGTGGACATCCCTAGAAGAACAAGAGGTCAGCCTCTGGTCTCTACCAACACTTGCATGCACACATACCCCCCCCCTTCTCTCTCGCCTCTCCTCTCCTCTCCTCTTCCCTCCCCTCCCCTCTCCTCTCCTCCTCCTCCTCCTCCTCCTCCTCCTCCTCCTCCTCCTCCTCCTCTTCTTCTTCTTCTTCTTCTTCTTCTTCCTCTCTCTCTCTCTCTCTCTCTCTCTCTCTCTCTCTCTCTCTCTCTCTCAGGTTTCCCATACTATATGACTCAGTTCTGCCAATGTGCTGTTAGATGAAAATCCCTGGACATAGTGCCTAAAAAAGCATTTAAGGAAGAGATGCAGGTAAAGTACTTGTTGAAAAAGCAGGAGGACTTGAGTTTACCCCAGAACCTGCATAAAGCAGGTGTAGCACCAAACTCCTGTAATCTCATGAGATGAGAGACAGGGACAGAAGAAGCCCCAGAAGCTCATAGGCGGTTACTCTAGCACATGCAGCAGTGGTGAGAGAGGGGGATGGGTAGTATGACATCCCAAACTGTCCTGTACTCTGTGGCACACATATGCCTGGACTACCACTTATGCTCACTTGAGTGTGCACTCTCTTTCTTCTCTCCTCCCCTGACCCACCCCAAAACAAAACAAAAACTATAATGTCACATTGGCTGATGCCTATCAATGATCTGCCTTGGACTTCATCATTTTTCTTGCAAAATGAATACTTAGGAGTACATTAGACATCATACAATCACGGAAACAAGACTTCATACTAAGGATGACAGCCAGAATCCTTGGTTACAGTATTGTAAAGCTCTAAAACCTCAAAAGCACATTAAACTCTGGAAGAGACAAGTAGAGTAGACTTGTAATCCCAGTTTCCAGAAGGCTGAAGCAGGAGGACAAGTTTAAGCCCAGCCTTAAACAGATGTTATCACAAAATAAAAACATAGAGGGTAGAAGGTAAGCTCAGCATCTGTGACACCCTGGGTTGAATCCCCAGTGCTAGGGCAAGGGAGGTGGGTGACTTCCTTTGATACTGCATATTCACTGCAACTAATGATCAAATTAACTGAATAAATTTCAACATTAAAAACGTACTTAAACTTGAAAATTGTATTTATATATAGGTAGACTATTAAATGATTTAGCATATGTTTTTAATGATGTGAGATTTAATATTCAAATTTCCAATATGTCACAAAGTATCAAAGTCTATTCCTAATGTTTTATATTGCCTTGGAAAACAGTAATTTGCCTTCTTAAAATTATTAAATACACAGAACTTCAGTTTATTGGTTGCAGATACTATTGCTGACATTTTCAGTACCTGGTATAATTAGTAACCAAAAATTTTTTCTTGAAAACTACCTATGACATATGCTAAGGCCTAAAATAATGATTCAAAATTAAAAGTCTTACTAACCTTTGCTGTAAAATATTATAGCTGTCTAATCTCATATCTTTGAAAATAAAATAAAGGAAATTGAAAATGCCAGCAGCAATGGCAAGTTATGAGCAACTCAAAGTTAAAATTTAACCAGACAAAATAATAATGCTTTCTCATACAGTTACGTATTTCAGCACAAATTCTAAAACTGGTTATTTCATTCCTTGGAGAAGCTACTTTAAATTTATTAAAAATGAAAACTAAAAGTTGGGGCAGGAATAATGACCAGAAAGAGAGGGAGGGAGACAGATACATATAGGAGAGAGAGGGAGAGAGAGGGGAGGGAGGGAGGGAGGGAGAGAGAGAGAGAGAGAGAGAGAGAGAGAATATGAATCTGTATCTGCCTGCCTTGAGCTGGAGAGATGAGCAAGCCTGAGGACTTGAATTTAGGTTCCCAGCAACCACATAAGCGCTGTGCCGGCTGGGAGTGGTGAGTGCACCCTTTAATCCCAGTACTTGGAAGGCAGAGGCAAGCAGATCTCTACGAGTTCAAGTCAGCCTTGTCTATATAGTGAGTTCCAAGCCAGCCAGGGGGACATAGTGAGACTGTCTAAAAAGACAAAAGTAACTTAAATAAATGTTGGGCATGTCAAAGTTAATTTTTAACCCAGTCTTGGGGGTAGGAGTTGGGAGCAAGATGGGGCAATGAGAATCAGATCCCTTAGTTGCCTGGCTTGTTAGTATAGCTAAAACATGAACGCCAGGTTCAGTTAGATTCCCTGTCTCAAAACAGGGTAAGGTAGAGGGTGACAGAGAAAGATAATTTATAGCGAGCTCTGGCCTACATGCCTACACCTACACACACACACACACACACACACACACACACACACACGGAACTTGTAGTCTTCTATTCTACCACATTCACAATCTTCAACAACTCTTACAACTTTCTCACAATCCAGCACCCCAACCTCCTTTGCTAGCTTAATTCCGTTTCTATTTCCCACTCAGGTCAAAATTATTCCATTCTTTCCGAGGACATTGTATCCCACCCACTTTTAAATTTAAGGGTGCTCCCAACAGTAAGATCTAAAGAGCATCACTTTCAAAATCCCGTTTCTTGGAGCAGTTGTCAAGCTCTGGCGACAGCCAGCTTCACTTTCTGGTTGACTGACAGCTCCTCCTCTACCGTCTCACACTGTAGCTGACGCCAGTCCCTCTTCTCGTCTTCCACTGCTTCTCCAGCATTAGAAACAGTGCCCAGCACAGAGCAACACTGTTCATAAAATGCTGCTGAGTTAATAAATGTGAACTCACAAGCCTTCTGAGGCATTCGGTAAATCTAATTCATTCTGGGGCTGGGGCAATAGCTCAGTCAGTAAAGTGTTTGCCTCTGCAGCATGAGGACTCTAAGGTAGATGTCCAAGAACCCATGTTTGTTTGGCTTTTGTTTTGTTTAATTTTTTTAAATCAAGCCTGGTAACACGAGAGAGGAAAAGATAGGTGGATTTCTGAGCTCACTGGTCAGCCAACCTAACCTACTTGGTGAACTTCAGGCCAGTGTGAGATCTTGTCTGAAAAAAACAAAGGTAGATGCATCTAAGGAATTCCATGGAGCTCTGGCTTCTTACATGTGAATTCACATGTACACCTACACAATACACAAATTACAACCTCTGATTCTTTACCTGAAACAGCACTAACATTTTTAAAAGAAAGCTGAACAGATTGCTTCTTGTTCAGTCTGTCCAATCCAGCTCCAGGTGATCTATTTATCACTCGTGACGGTGCTGCTGGTCACTGTTCCAGACAACAACTGTCTGCTTACGAGCAACAGTAAATCTAAGAACGAGGAAGCACTAAGAAAGGCATGCTCACAGAATAAATCTTACACGAATGTAAAGCTACCCATTTTACCGTCTTAATAGAACTCCTTTGTTTTTCTTCCCAAACACCACTGCTCAACTCAAGTGTGCAATGAACATTTGCTTCTCTGTCATAGGATCCAAAAATGAACAACCTGCAGAAAAAGACAGAACAGGCAGGGTACTGTACCAGTCATATGCAATAAATATCTCCTTTCTCAAAATCACAAGGAGAAGCAATGTATTATTCCATTACTATTTTAATAACAATAACAAAAAAAGAAACATTTGTTACACCCTCTAGTGGAAAAGCCAAGAGAGTAAGACTCAAGTTAGAGGTTTCCTAGGCAGCTGGTGTTCCATGTTTTAAACAAACAGAACCATGTAATCATGAGGTAAAACAATTGGCCAGATATCTCTATGTTATAGTAAGCAAGACAGAGACTTTCAAGAAAGACTTTTGGATTTAAAAGTGAAACAATTTGGAGAGTGATGCATATAGGTACATATCATTTCTGTAAAATTTAATATGCAGAAGGGCACTACAATTGAGTATTTGCACGCATATTGATTTTACCACCAAATGTGACCCTAGTTAAATAATTTGCTTTCCCAATCTCTTTCCCTCTCTGAAAATTTAAGAATAAAAATAGGATTACTTACTTTTCTGGAAGAACTATTTTTAAAATTAAAAGACAATATACATAAAGCATACTTAGTTTTTTAACACATAAAGTACTTAACATAGGGCTAAACAAACAATAAATGCTCAATATTTGTTACTTCTTCCCCTTAAAAAAAATGGTTATCAATGTTGTTTTGCCTGCATGTCTTTCTGTATTCCATGTGCATGCCTGCTGCCAAGAGGGAGTCAGAGCCTCCAGAAGTAGAGTGAAAGACAGTTGTGGGTGCTGAGAATCAAACCCGGGCCCTCTGGAAGATGAGCCAGTGATCTTAGTCACTGAGCCATCTCTTCAGACACTTTCCCTATCTTGAAAACAACAGCCACAGAATAAAGAAAACACCTAGCCATGCTTAATATTCAGTTATAAAGACACAGCTCTAATTCTGAGATGACATAAAACTTTTATTACTGGATTAAAACAAGGGTATTATCCATAAGTCTAACTTCTATAATATGCACCCTCATAATCAGACTGTAACCTGCCAGCTTGTCTCTGGAATGAGCTTATGAAGAGCTGTAGCATTTACCAGCGTTTCCGCCATTACTCTATTACTTTATCACTATGTAAAGAGCACAGGCAGGAATGAAATAACAAAAGAAAAGTGGTAAATACACCATGGGCACTAAGTTTGGAGGCACTGGGCAAGCTCACCAGATCACAGTCATATCTCACGAACTGGGTTCATAAACTGAGAATCCCAAATAATTTTTGACAGTGGGGGACAAAGTTCCTAAATATAAATATTAAAGAATCTTTAAAAAAGACTTTAAACTTAGTACCTAATAAACTATTACCAAAAAGAAGACAGGTCAAACACATCAAGAAATTCCTAACTTTAAAATGGCTGACTTTTTAGAATAACCACAATTTTCCTTCACTGAAGCTCTGCTGCCACCATCTGTCCAGAGTGCGAACTGTCTCTAGCTTCTCCAGCAAGCAGAGCTCCAGGCTCTAGACAGGAGTCACGAACCAGAGAGTGGAGCTCTTAGGAATTACTCCTCAGATCATACGCTATTTTACATTTTTCATAGTGAATTCAAAATGTTTTTAAAATAACATAACAGATAGCAAAAAATTTAACTCAAAGTAGTCACGTTATTAAATGTGAGATATAAAAAATTACAAAACTCAAAAGAAAAACAAAATCTTGCCCTAGACTACACTATGCTTTATTATGATACAAAGTGTAAGTATCAAAATAAAAGAAAAAGACATAAAATTAGATTCACAAAAGGCTGATATCTAGCTCAGTGGCAGAGTACTGCCTAAAACAGGTACAAGGTCCTGAAATAGGTCCTAACACAGAAATAAAACAACAAAACCTATTGTGAATTCAAAGGGTACCATCACATAAATGAGACAATTCCCAGAACAGGAGCAAATATTTTCAAATGAATTTGATAAAGATCAAGTATTTAGGAGGAAAAAAGTTACAACATAACAATAAAAACTAAAATAACACAATTTAAGCACAGGCAAGAGAGGGGCTCAGTAATTAACCCCTTGCTGCCCTCTTGAAAGAACCACTGGGTCTGGTCCCAGCACCTACATCTTACAACTATTTGTAACTCCAACTTCAAAGCATCAAACCCTCCCTGGCCTCCACGAACGCTGCATTCACATGGCACACTTGTTATAAGCCAGGAGAATAATACAACTCAAACCATTTCAAGCCGACTAGAGTAGCTATAATCTTTAAAAAGAACTGTTTTTTAAGAGGCGTTGGTGGGGTTATGGAGAAACCTGGATCTTCATACCTATTTGAATGTAAAATGGTACAGTCACTTTGAAGAAAAGTTTGTCAGTTGCTTAAAAAAATTAACATATGACTTAGAAATTCTACTCCAAAGAAATATTATATGACAACAAAATAAGTACTAGAGCACTCTGCAATATGGATACAATGAAAGGTTGCTAAGTCAAAGTAGCCATTCAAAAATGAACACATAATTTCATTCACACTAAATTTTTAGAATAAGAAAACTTATAGACAAAACCCAGAATCATTATAGGAAGCCATGGTTCTGAACTGAGCTCCTCTATTAAGCCCCCAAAGAACAAACTACTAAACCAAAATGAAGTCACTCCTGTTCAATGTCAATCATCTAAGCTAGAGAAATGGCTCCAGGAGTAGTTGCTTGAATTTGAGTTTAGACTCTCATCACTCACATGAAGAGTCAGGGATGGTGGCATGTGCCTCTATCACCAGTGCAGGGGCAGGAAGGGGAGACAGGCAGAACCTGGGGTTCACTGGCTCTCCGTGAAATATAGGAGGAGCTCCAGGTTGAATAACAGAAGTCTCAAAAACTAAATGTTGAGTGATAAAGACACCCGACATCCACCCTACCCCATCCCACACACTTTACACAATGCCACATGATCAAATTGAAACTTTAAGTGAATGGATCCCTGAACAGGCCAATTTGTCCTGAAAACAGATTTCAGCTGAGCTCTTTGGCTTTAACCTTGAATAAATGGAAAGAGGGAGGGAGGGAGGGAGGGAAAGAGGGAGGGAAGGAAGGAAGGAAGGAAGGAAGGAAGGAACGAACGAACTAGAGAAGTGGTTCAGGGGTTCCAAGCACTTACTTTTCTTCAAGAGGCCCAAGTTCATTTTCCAGCACACACATCAGGTAACTCCAACTCCAGAACATCTGACACTCTCTTTGTGCCTCCATGGAACACCCACACCCACTCTCACACACACATGAAAAAGAAAAAAAACTTAAAATAAAAAGTAACCTGTGTAGTAATATGGGCGGCGGGGCTGCGTCCCCATCACCCCGGCTGCCCACATGGCTAGCTTATGCTCCGAAATAACAACACACAAACTGTATTCATTTAAACACTGCTTGGCCCTTTAGCTCTAGCCCTTACAGGCTAATTCTCACATCCCGATCAATCCATCTCTAATAATCTGTGAGCACCGGTCTTACCGGGAAAGGTTCAGCATGTCTAAACCTGGCGGCTTGCTTCATCGCATGCGTCTGCCCGGGAGAGCGGAACATGGCATCTCTCTGAGGCGTCTGCTTCCGAGAGGAGAGCTGTGGAGTCTGAGCTCACTTCCTCTTCCTCCCAGCGTTCTGTTCTGTTTACTCCTCCCACCTATCTTCTAACCAATGAGGGCCAAGCAGTTTCTTTTTATTTAACCAATGACCTTCCTCCATCAAACCTGATGTTAACTGATGAGCTTTTCTCACTATTGTTTTTCTGTTCCAATTTTACAAAACCCACTGTTGAGCTAGTGTCCAGTGTGCATGCTCATGCACTTTACAGATTGGGGTTATGAATTAGGGGTCTCTAACTACATTTAGCACACTTTTGCTTTCTGACCAGGGTAAAACTAGAAGAGAATGAAGCTCGACTGCACAAAGGCATGAGGTTATGAGCGTGCACAAGGTGAGCTTCTGAAGATGAATGGAAGCTACATTAAGAGACTGACCGTACACTTTAAATGATGCGTGCTACCTGGATTATATATCACGAACCTGGTATGGGTCTGAGCTAGGTCCTCAGCATATGCCTTAGCGTTGTGTAGTTTGGTGTTCTTGTGAGACTCAACAGTGGAAGCGTCTCTGACTTTTTGCCTGTACTTAGAACTCTTTTTCTCCTACTGGGTTGCTTTGTCCAGCCCTGATATGAGGGTTTGGGCCCAGTCTTGTTAGGCCATGTTCAGTGGATACCCCTGGGAGGCGTGCTTTTTTTTATCGGAAAGGGAAAAGTGGATCTGGGGGAGAGAGGGTGGAAAGAAGGAGTGGAGAGAAACTATGGTTAGGATGTAATATATGAAAGAAGAACAAAAGTCTTTTTTTAAAAAAAATAAAAAGATGTTTTAAAGAAAAAATAATGGATAATTATACCAATAAATAATTATTTTTCTGAGACAGGATAATAAAATTTGTCAAGTACTGAAAATATAGCAAATGCTTGATTTACTATTATGTTCCATTATAATATTGAGACAAGATAAATTTCAATAAAATATAAAGTGATTATCTGACATAGATGTAAAAGACTGTATTAAAAGTATGGAACAAAATAAATGCCAAATGAAAATCATTAAAATGTTAAAAGATATTATCGTAAGTGTTTAGCATTATTCTTTTTTTTTTTTTTTTGATTTTTTGAGACAGGGTTTCTCCGTAGCTTTTAGTTCCTGTCTTGGAACTAGCTCTTGTAGACCAGGCTGGCCTCAAACTCACAGAGATCCACCTGCCTCTGCCTCCCGAGTGCTGGGATTAAAGGTGTGTGCCATCACGGCCCGGCAAGCATCATTCTTAAAAATGAAAAATTTAACCATAAAAGGGGCTACTTTTCCTGTAAAATAGTCTTGGAGGATTCACAAATAAATGCAAAGTAGAATTTTAACACCTAAATTATCCCCTCTTATAAACGAATTTTGAAATTCTGTATGAACAGGTTTCCATGAGGAACTAAATATTTTACCACAAATATGCACATAAAGCTATTCA